ATTCCCCCGCGTCACTCCTCCCATGTGTTTTCATGACAAACTGTAGTTGGGAGACCAGACAGGCCTCGGTGAAAGGTCTTGTAATCTGTGACTCCATCACTGATCAGTCATGTTGTGTGAAAATCCCAGAGATTTCAAGATTCCCGATTGGAAGAGGAGTTGTGCAGATCTGACGGCTTTGAGAGTCGTGTAGGGTGAACTTAGCACAATATGACACACCTTTATATCTGTGTTTGTGATTTAGTTGCCTAAGTCGTTTTTCCGGTGACTTCCTGAGCCCCAGTGTATGTTCAGATGTACGTATGCATGTACTCCGTGTGGGTCTGTTTTTCGCTTCCCCATTCTGCCCTGCTCACATGCCCTGGATTTTCCCCTTATATAGATGGGTTTTAAGATGCATAAGCTGGGTGACAGGTGTGACCTGATCCAGGAAGGTGGACGCACCACTGATCCCGCCGTGGACAAGCGGATGGACTTCCACTTCAACGCCATCCTGGACGTGGTGTCTGAGTGGAGGAAGGACATGCCCCAGCATGTGGACGTCCCTCTGGGAGGTACAGTAACACGCTCCTCTCCAGGGCACTTCTGCCAGCTTCTACATTCCGCACCACATCTTCTCCTGGATACGGACTTCTGCATTAACTGAGTCCTGTCATTTACTGGTCCAGTTTAGGGGTTCCCAATCCCCCAGTACCAGTACTCCACCAGGCTGCAGAACTGCAGTTTTGTGGAGGAGTTTGTTGATTCCCCCAAAAAAACTATATATTTTTGCCTGTCCTGTTCGCATCTGCAAAAATGGAAACGAATAAACTTATGAAGTCGGTCTGCCCCCCATCACTCTTTAATACAATGTAAACCGGTCCACGGTCATCCAGAGGTTGCAAACCCCTGTTCTGATTGTAGCTATAGACAGTTAAATTGTATTTTAGGCTGTATCAGGCTGTAGCACATCGCATACAGACTTGTCCGCTTTATAGTCTTTTGGTATATTTAGTAAAGCATATATCCGTTAAGGAGATTCATTTACTGTGTTTTTCTCTAATTGACTCTTCATTCTCTTTGGCAATAAGTAAATTTGAACAACTCTGGGTGTTCTTTTATTGTGACAGAGAAAATCCAAGAGGTTTATAAGAACTTTCTCCAAGAATCAGGGATTCAGTTCAGTGATCTGGAGGAGAAAGTGCTTCAGTACCACCTCAGCAACCTGGAATATGCCTGCGGCAGTGACCTCATCCAGGTACTGTACCCCCACCCCCCCGCTGTGCCTTGTCCGCTCAGAGCGGCTGCTGCATACTGACTCGCACGCCTTGCCGTCTAGGTGTCCGCTCGCTCCTGGGACCACAACCAGTTCTTTGCTCAGTTTTCCGGCGACCACACACTTCTGACTGCTGGCTACTCCTCCATCCTGGCCAAGCTGGCTGAGGGCCTGGACATCCACCTCAATACCCCGGTACTTTACCTCGATTCAAAAAAAGGAAAAGCTAATGTTATATAGTAACCCCTTCACATTCACTAGGGTTGGGGGAAGATCCCCGACAAAGGTGAATTTGCGAATAATACTTGGGCCCCCCAGTCTCACCCTGTCTGTTAGCCTGAACAATAATTTTAAAAGTTTATTAGTAATGTATAAACAAACAGTTCTGTACACATAGCATGATATGATACCCAAGACAAGACTTTTAATATTAAAGATATAGAATACACGTGTTGTTTACGGTTGCTAATCATTCTGTCCCCTACAGGTCCAGAGCATCGACTATTCTGCAGACCTGGTTAAAGTCACTACATGCAGTGGCTCTCAGTACACTGCCCAGAAGGTAAGGCTCATTAGGCATTATATACCACTTTAAATCTCTCCATCATGTTCTTTTTACATGCCTTGTGGCACATTAAGCTGATGTGGCTGATCAGTGGGTTTTCTGCCGCCTTCTTTAGGTTCTGGTCACCATCCCGTTGGCTCTTCTTCAGAAGAACACGGTTCAGTTTAACCCTCCGCTTCCTGAGAGGAAGCTGAAGGCAATTAACAGCCTTGGGGCAGGAGTTATTGAAAAGGTGTGCATGTTTATTTTTAAGACCAAATTGGCAGAAGTGTGACCATGTATGACGGTGTCTATATCCAGAATCTGTTTTCTGGTTTGCAGATTGCGTTGCAGTTCCCGTACCGCTTTTGGGACAGCAAGATCCAGGGCGCTGATTATTTTGGCCACGTCCCGCCCAGCCCTGAAAAGAGGGGCATGTTTGGGATGTTTTACGATATGGACCCAGAGGTCAGGGCAGGTTTGAGTGCCTGAAGCATGCATTAAGGTGGCCGTATACTTCAGATGAAATCAATGGAAATTATGTCATTTTGGTGTCAATGTAGCATGATATGAGCTACATATACCCTGCCTGTGCTGGGGTTGTTCTTTTGTCATTGTTCTGGTCCCACTCACTCTTCACGATTGGCTGGCATGAATGTGACATCATGGGGTTGGTCAGAAGGACTAATTATGCAGTTGCCCGCATGCTTTGCACTGTAATTTCTGTTAATAGTAAATGTCGTAACTGTGTAATGCTGGCTGTGGAATGCGCGTTTCCTTTATGATTTACGACTGTGTCCCATGTGTCCCCCAGAGAAAACAGAGTGTCCTGATGTCTGTCATCACGGGAGACGCTGTGGCCACCATCAGGAATCTGGATGATGTGCAAGTGGCAGACCTGTGCATAAAGATGCTACGTGAGATGTTCAGGGAGCAGGTAAAGCGGCTCCGAAGCATTTCCCGTTTTTCAAGTGCATGTAGTGTGATTGTTCATGGCAGATAAGTATCTTGTGATTTGGCCACTTTTAGTATGTAATCTTGAATTTTTTTTCCTTTAATCTTTGTTTGCAGGAGGTCCCAGATCCGGTGCAGTATTTCGTCACACACTGGAGCAAAGACACATGGTCGCAGATGTCCTACAGCTTCGTGAAGACTGGGGGTAGCGGAGAGGCATATGACATCATAGCTGAGGAAGTACTCGGGAAGCTGTTCTTCGCAGGAGAGGTGAGATATACCAGTGAGCGCTACAGAAGGTGATTTCATGTTATGTTTTGTCGTGTTTTGTCACTCACTTAAATGTGTACAAAATGTGGCTGTTTATCAGGCTGTGTTTATCAGGCTGTGTTGATCAGGCTGTGTTGATCAGGCTGTGTTGATCAGGCTGTGTTTATCAGGCTGTGTTTATCAGGATATGTTTATCAGGTTGTGTTTATCCTGTCTGTCTGCAGGCTTCCAACCGGCATTTTCCCCAGACAGTGGCTGGAGCCTACCTGAGCGGCGTGCGGGAAGCCAGTAAAATGGCAGCTTTGTAGCTAAAGGAGAGAGTGGGCTAGTAGCACAGTGTGCGGCAACACTACAATGGTGTTAACCTGGATCCGGACCCGGGAGCTACAGCTGTGTCACTCTGCATTTCCCAACATGCATTGCAGCGCAGCTCTTATTGTCTAAAGGACACACTTGTGGGTACTAATTAAGACTTTGGGGGAAAAAAAAGTGTTTCCAATAGAATAATGTTAAACGTGATGAAAGCGCTTATGAATTACTCGGTTGTACGATGTTACTATATGATTTAGCACTTTTTGTTTATTTGTCGGGACCGCTGTTTGCACAGGAAGTTTGGGTACTTGTGTATACGATGTGTAATAATGAGTAAGGACACAAAACTGGCTTTGATCACTCCAAGGCAGATGAAAGACTTCCATCATTAATATACATATTCAAAATGCATTTTCTACTGAGTGAATTCTATACTTTTCGCATATGTCCAAGGCTTTTGTAATAGTCTTCGATTGAGAAATTACAGAACAGCATATTGTGCTAGTGCTTAATATATGCTAAGTTAACTATATTTGTTTCTGAATCCAATATGCCGCTTGTAATGAGATATATTTCATTTTTTTTCTGTATCTATGTATAATTCTCTGAAAAAGTGGTGGTTAATAGGTACAGTCACGCTGGTTTCTGGACAGATTCCGGCAAGACGACACAACCACACATTAAAGAAAGAAACAAATCAGCTGATTATCCATCCATCCATTATCCATACTGCTTTATCCATCTGGGATGCGGGGAAGCTGGAGCCAATCCCAGCATCATCGGGCGAGAGGCAGGGTACACCCTGGGCAGGTCGCCAGTCCACCACAGGGCCAACACAGACAAACAGCCACACACACTCACATGCACACCTATGGGCAATTTAGAGTAGCCAGGTGACCTAATCTGCATGTCTTTGGACTGTGGGAGGAACCTGGAGCACCCAGAAGAAACCTCAGCTGATTATAAATGGTATTTTTTTCATGTGGAGCTTATATTCTCAAATATAAGATTAAAATACAGTGTTAGAATAAAATGTTAACTCAGTTACACTGTGTCATGGTGCTTATGCAGCCCCTCACTTAAGTGAAGAAATTTCCTTAAGCTCAAGATACCATGATCTAATATGACTGTTGTTATGAAAATTCACTAAATGACCACGAGTTATATTTTACCTGATTCTACAAATGTATGTATTGGCTTCGGATTTTATCTACGTTTTGCGTTGAATCACTTCTAGTATAATTCACAATGGGTTTTGGCTCACATAGGCTGTGGAAGTGATTAATGTTTCTTAGATTACACTACAGACAATAGTATTTAACTCAATCCCGTTATGCAAAATAAATTATGCAGCTAATTAGTAAAGGGAAAATGCGATTTAATTATGGGTTACTGAAATCTTCCAACCGCGCTTATCTAGTACAGGACCGTAGAGGGGAACCTTATTCCAGACAGCACAGCCTTAAAGGGCACGTACACGCTAACATTCACATCGACTAGGGGCAATTTGAAGAAGTCATCTCGCCAACATGTATATCTTTGAACTAAATAGGAATGGGGGTGACATTCTCATCCTCGCTCAAGAGGCGTGAAACAGCAAAGCACTGTTTGTCCCTAGTGGCAGTCTGTACCGATCTAAAAAAAGCTGTAGTAGCCATAGTAACATGAAACTGAGCGCTAACACAGTCAGATACTACCGCTGCGACCAGGTACATGAAATTCTTTGTCATCTTCGACATGCCAGTCGACAAGGGCTAACTGGAAAAAAAACGTAGACAGAAATGCTTTCCACGACAGTTCAGATGACGAAAAGTCCTTTAAGGCAGGGAACTAAAGCGGTCAAACACGCAGTCCGTGACAATGATGAGCAAACTAAGGTTGGTTAACTTCACTCGTTTGTATTATTATTAGTATTTATTAGTATATATTAGTATTTAAAGTTTTAGGAGGTACTTGCTTACTGGTCGCTATATGGTTTACGTTGCTTTTAAATTTAAAGCGTGTCTCTTCGAAACTCATGGAAATCAGACGTGTGATAGAACTTCTGGAGGATCCATTTGCAGTAAGTGACCGGCATATTTTTATATTCCTGCCCAGCTCATGGCACTTGCATCATTGACAGGTATCGAGATATACAATGAAAATAAAACTGTGTGTACTTTAATAACTTTTACACATTAGCTATCGACACGTCATATAGTGGTCTAATTTTTGAGAACAGACAACTTCTTGTCATTGGTGAGTTGATTTAGGACCTTTGGGTTTTTGTGTCTATATAAATCATTGCCCTTGCGTTTCCAGGAAACTTTGAAAGAGAGACAGCTTTTCCTTCTGAAGAAACTGTCTAAGAGGTGGAAGTATGGTGTTGTATCCTTCATCTCATGATTTATCTAATTATAACTTTACCTTTGTCCACCACTGACCTACATTGGAAACATTTTTACTCTCTAAAGGTTTTTTTTAACTGGTGTTGCCTGGCTTTGTATAACTGTATCCCAGTAGAATGGAAAAACCTACCACCTAAAATCCCCACTGTCCCAATTATTGGTGATTTGATCTCCAGGGATGTTTGGTGTTTAATGGCTTTTCCATGGTTATAATCACTTGAGATCACTTACTAAGCTTGTTTAATTAATACATGCAGAAGATAGGTGCACTTTCAAGGCACATATGTTCCATCTTTAACACATTGTACTTTAAGGAGATTCTTTGGTTATATAAATGGAGAATTATTATAGACTTAAGTATATGTGAGTCCTTTAGTATCTCACTTCTGTGCTGGATTCTGCTAAAATCTGGAACTCTTATCTCTCTGAATAGAAATTTTATCAGCAATGTAATTGTGTATTTTCTCAGTATCCTTAGAAGTATATAACTTTGATTGACTGCAGCAGTGTGATATAGCAGACAGGGGCGCCGCTAGAGATTTTGGGCCCCATGAAAGCATATCATATTAGGCCCCCCAGTCCAAACCAATCCAGTTATTTTCCTAATTTTTTAGGGCCCCTGTCACTCAGGGGCCCTTGGAATCGTCCTAGCTTTCCTCCCCCTTACGGCGCCCCTGATAGCAGATATTAGATTTTTCCCTTGAAAGCATTTGTTCTGTTGATAGTCTTATGTGTTTTCCTTTATACTGACACATTACAGTTTTTGAAAGACCTTGCTGGCATTTTCAAAATCCTCAACATATGTGCACTCAAAGGTCATCCCCAGTACACTCAGGTGATGTGTGACCTGCTCCAGATATGCCGGTAAGACGTGTCTCCTCAGCAAACTGAGCTCTACTGTACTGGCTGATGCACCGTTTAATAATCAGCAATTTTTCTCTCTCTTCAGGCTTCCTTTCTTGAAAGAAAAGTCCTCGGACGAGTTAAATCACGCAACAACTGTCAAAGAATGTTTCTCTCAGCTGGGTATGACGTGGAGTTGGAGTTGGTCTTGGCAGGACTTGTCACTGGGGGTTGTAGGAGAGAAGCTGACATGATCTGCTGTTTCAGGTTACCTGATGAGGGTTCCCAGCACTGAAGTAAGGATAAAGATCTGTGATTCCATCATATCCTTCTACAGTCCCCCTCCTAATACCAGCTATCCAGATGGTATGCCGCTGGCACTGGCAGTAGCAAAGTAGCATGTCACATTCCAAGTCTGTCTACATATGCTCATTGTAAGCGGGAGCAGTGCTTCAGTATGACCACATGAGGGCAGTAATCTACAATTGGATGGCTTTATGGCCAGCTATTAAATGTGTCTCATCTAATTCAGGGTTAGGTCACTAATAAAAAAAGATTTCCAGCTGGCATATAGCAAAAATAAATTCAATAAGTTATAAACAAAATACTATTACACAAAATGGCTAGAACAATGTAACGCAGTCATAGTCTCACACATAGCTTTGCCCCAGTAATGGATATAATCGTACCAAGACCACAGCTTTGTCTTTCTGATGTTTTACTCTCCTTTTCTTGCAGAATCAGCCACTCCTTTTATGCTAGAGGCAGCCAATGGTCTTTTAGACCTGAGTATTGGCCGCGCCCCCTTTAAATCTGATAGAGCAGTAATGGGGCAGAAAAACAAGGGTCCTAAAAATTTTAATGATGGTAGTTGCAGCAGATACCACATGTCATAATTGCATAGTGTTTATTTAATATATGTAATATACTGCTATACAGTAGACGAAGGTTGGACATTATTTTAAGATAATTTTATTGATCAGAAAATGATCCCTGATATATAGAAGAATAATGCTGTCTTGCTTATGTCATCCAATCTCGCATCTTGTGCATGGCCCTCTGGAGGGTTCTGGCCCACCAGCCCCAGGTTCAAAGCTCAGATGGTGGAGCGCAGTGGGCTGGCTGAGACCTTGGTGCTCTCCATGGCTCTGCTGGAGCAGCAGCTGGAGGTGAAGCTGCGGCTCCTCCAGGCTCTTCAGCTGCTTTCCAGCTCTTCAGGTGAATGTTCAGGATGTCGACCACATCCAACAATGTCGCCTTTTACCCTCATCCATGTTTCTTTGTACAGGGATCCTCTGTTAATTCTGGTCATTGGCTTTGTGTGTGATGAGACTGACCAACTATTAAAAACTGCCATTTCATTTTCATATTTATCGTAGGTTTAGGTCACATCGAGCCTATTTATAGACATAAAAACCACAGACTTCATTTCTGTGTTGCAATTTTCAAGAGGTCACATTTCTTGAAACAACACTGATTTACCGCAGAGGTGAACTGTGACCTGATCCTGAAGGCGCAGGGGGCCAGGATGCTCTGCACCAGGATGCTGGAACCAGATCCGTCGGGACAGCTGCTGTTCCGCTCCTCTGAAGTGCTGTGGAACCTACTGGAGAAAGGCTGTGCAGAAGAGCTCAGCTCCCAGCTCAGCGACATGGACTGCATCCTGTGTGTAAACTAGGGACCATGTTATTAATGTAAATCAACACTAGGTGGTGCAGTACCTTTAAATGTAAAAGTACTTAAATGACTGGGCAGCATGTTTCGTGCTTCCAGCTGAGCTGATTAATTAACCATGATAGATTAAGGTGTCGGGTGGCTCAGTGGGCAGCACTACCACTCATACCTCCAGCGTTGTTGTCCTTGAGTTATGAGTTTCATCCTGCAGTCTAAAGGCATGGAGTCAGTTGAACTGGCAACTTTGCTCATAGTATGTGAGTGTGTGTTCTGCAAAGGACTGGTACCCCATCCAGAATTGCCTTGTGCCTTATATTTCCTGGTTATAGGCTTCTGGTGCTGTGTCTCATTGCACTGGATAAGTGGGTCCAAGATGGATGGATGGGTGGATTTTTGAGTTGTTGAGAAGCGGCTGTTTTCTGGTAGCTCAGTAACTAACACTCTGGTGGTGCATTCTCCAGCCTAGCTGAGTTTGCACGTTCTCCTTGTGTTCATGGGACACATGCTCTGGATTTGTTCCAGATTTTTCTGAATTGCCCTTATGTGCTTGTGTGGGTTCTGTGGTGGACTGCCGTTCTGTTCAGGGTGTCTCCTATCTTACACTATTGCAGTTACTGGGACAGGTTCCAGGTAAACCACTGCACCAGATAATCAGCTATGAAAAATAGGTGGAGGAGTCATTGAGTTTGTGAATGATAGACTTTAATTCTCATTAGAATGTTGTAGACTTACCTACACTATACATCAAAGAGTATCTAGGCAGCCCTATTAATTAGATGAATTGGCTAATTCAGCTACATTCATTGCTGACACAGATTTATAATTAAGCAAATGGCCATAAAATCTCCAGAAACAAAGATATGCAGTGACTTTGAATCATCGTAGGATGCCATCTTTCAGTTTGCAAAATTTCTGTCCTGCGTGAGCTGCCTGGGTGAACCACAAGTTCAGTTGTGAAGTGATCAGCCACACAAACTCACAGAAAGGGACCTGATCACCCAAAAAATTTACCCAACCTGAATGGCAGAAAATCTCAACAGCAATGTTCCAGCTTCCAATGGAATGTCTTCTTAGAAGTGTAGAACTTCTTATAGAATGAGAATGAGATGTTGGATGAGCTGCTGTCCACATATTTTTGGCAATACAGTGTAGCTGCAAGCGAGTAAATCACGCTGTGTAGACACAATAAAATGAATGCTGTAATCTTCCTGGTATTGGAGCTTCGTGTGACTTTATTTGCTGAACAGCATAATCAGAAGAGGAGGAAGTTGTAATTAAGAGCTCAGTTGAAATGAGAACAACCTGTGAAGATCTGGATATCGATACCTCTGGATTAGAGGGCACCGTGAAAGGAAGAAAGTTCAAATGATTTAATTATTATCTTTAACAGATGCACTTAGCCCAGCTAATTTCAGATGTCATGTAATGCATTCCGGACCATAAGTGGTCACCGATTATCTGGAATAATCTGCTTGAGTCTACCTTGGTGTTAACCCCAGTTACAGAAACCTTATACCAACATACTGTAGGGAGTGATCCAGTATAGTCTTGCTCACTTCCCGCATGTCACCAGTTCCACAGAATCATAAACACACTGTGTTTACTGTCTCTCTGTGTTGTAGGTGTTTAAAAGAAGCTTTTCTCAACCTGCTTTTGAGTGGATATCGGCAGTACGAGCTGCAGCTGAGAAACGACCTGCTGGTGATTATCTCTCTCATAGCAGAAAATCCCACCGCACCGCTGATCGTAAGTGCAGAGCGTCTAGTGGTTCACATTCACTAACATTCAGAGGCAGACATGTCAGGTCCAGAAAGTAAAAATCCAGACCACGATTTTGTTTCAACCAACCAGTTGAGTTTAAAGAGTCACAGTCATAGAGTAACCAGCTGATTGGTGGAAACAAAATGTTGCTCTAGATTTTTGCTTTCTGGATTTGAAATTTCCACCTCTGGTAACATTCATGTAAAAAGATTACTTATAAGTAAGATGGATGGATGTAATATATGAGAATTATTCCACCACATTTTTGATTTCCTGATTATTTTCTTTGTTTATCAGGAGAGTGGCTTAGCTAAGCAGCTCATCCTGTTTCTCACATTCCCCGAAAGTAAGTGTTCATGTTTTATAATGGTGTAAACCAGTAATTAATATTTAATATCTTCTTGATATTTATATTATTCTTAATTATGATGCATTATCAACAAGCTCTTTACTAGACAACTGAGATCAAATTGTTAAGAAACTGAACTGATATTTGTATCTTTGTGTGACTTTGTCTCTACCAGATGCTGGTAAATTGTTTTCTGCTTTGCCCTAGTTAACACCCAGAATCCACTTCTTCATAGCTTCAAGCTATCTTTAAACAATGAAGATTTTGAGATGAAGAAACTTTTCTTCAATTTGATTTTTGTGATGTCAAGGGATCTTTCTGCTTTGCAGGTAATTGCAGTAGAAATTTTAGTTAGAAATCTTACCAGGTGAAATTTATGCATTTGTGTCTGAAGTATGAATCATTTACTTTATAAACATCACGTTTTAGTCATGTGCGTCGCCACCATTAAATCTGAGGGGGACGTGTCCCCCTTACATTTCATAATTGTTCGTTTGGACCCCCGGATATTTAACATAAAATATTAGTTTTATGCCAGTGTGTCCCCCCCCCACATTCAAAATGCTTCAGACGCCCTTTAGTGATAAGAAACTGAAGATGTATTTTACTTTTATTCCTTTGTGCATTTATGCTCAAATAATTGGGACCATTTATCTTTTACCAGTGTTCATAAATGATTGACCTTAGTTTGTTTACCCTTATGTATCTCATTTTGGGTATGTTTCAGCTGTTCAAAGATGGCCGGGTCCTGTTGGCTCTGCTGCATCATGCCAACCCTAACAGGAAGGTGGAGCGGCACGACTGGTCCTCCGCCCAGCAGGAGGAGCTACAGCTGCAAGCCCTGGCCACACTGGCGTCCGTGGCGCCACTGCTAGTGGACGAGTACATGACTTGCCAGGGGAACACACGCCTGCTGCTGCTGTTGGAGTGGTGCACAGAGACAGGTGACACGGTGGGGTGGGGTGGGGGGAACAGGAACCTGCAGCATAGCCCCAGAGCCTATGGGCGCAAGGCAGGGAATAACCCAGGATGGGGCACTAGCCAATCACAGGGCACTCGTACACCATTCACACCTACAGCAATTTGGCAATTCCAATTAGCCTCAGCATGATTTGGACTGTGGGGGGAAACTGAAGTACCCGGAGGAAACCCCACAATGACACAGGGAGAACATGCAAACTCCACACACACAGAACACTGGCAGAGACCCAGGTCCTAGGGGCGACAGTGCTGACCACTGCATCAGTGAGGCGACAGTGCTGACCACTGCATCAGTGAGGCGACAGTGCTGACCACTGCATCAGCATGCTGCCCTATTACATGTTTTGTCCCATAATTTCTGAATTTGAGTTTCACTAAATTATCATTCTTTGTTTTTATTAACTATTAAGTCAACTGTGTACATAATTAACTTAATATGAATGTAAGATATTAAATTAAACTGAAATGACTTTTAAAATTGCAAAAACAAACACAATTAGGACCACTTGTAAACCTAGGAGATACATCTGTCAACATGTCTGAAAAACAAAATCTAAAAAATGCTTCTTTGCAGATTGTAAAAATAAATAGTTCAAATACATTTTAAAAGTCAAAAATGCAACATCATAACAATCATAATGAACTAAATCTCATGTTTTCTACTTCCAAGTATGGTCACATATCTCTAGTAATAAACACTCCTATAGCCGTAATTTTATTTATTTACTTTTTTTTTTAGCTTGGGCTGAATTTCCTGGCAAAATCTCGGTGGTTTCTGCCTACCCCCTGTCATACACACACCTGGATAATGTCATCTCAACTGAGTTGAATGTGTTTCCAACAACATTTCCAGATCCGTGTAACGGAGCCTACAGACAAATACAAGAAGTCGTTACCAGTTATCAAGTCTGCTAATATTAGTCAGTGAAAACTACTGCTAGATCACAGCTAAAATTTCTTCATACATCTGGGACCATGTTTTACTGGAACCGAGTTGGAAATCACTTCGAGAGTAGTAAGCATTTTATTTTGGTGATGTCATTTTTTTTTTTACCATTTTTCTCAAAAAAGGGGATATCAGGGCAATTTCTGTTTTGCGTAACACTGATCCACACATGAGCAAAACAAAACAGACTTGGAGAGGTATTTATAGGTCAGTTATTGTGAAAAAAACGGAACCGTTGCCTTCACCTCGTTTTGTGATCAGGAATAACATTTCAGGAAGTACTTTAACCTGTTTAATGTGTGAATTAGGAGGAAACTTATGATGCTTTTTGGTTGACCTAAAACTCGGGAGGTGAGCAGAGACCTTTCGAACTGTCTACCTCAAACAGATGCCTACTTTGGACAGGAGAACAGCTGCCGTGGTGCTGGGGGCCGAGGCAGCAGAAAGGCCCACCTGCGCTACTGCATACGTCTGCTGAGAGCCATGACCTCTCTGGCCAATGAGCAGCTCAACCAGGACCTGTGTGACCAGGGGGCCATCGGGCAGCTGCTCGGTATGGACATCAGTAGTCTGCACCTTCTGAGCATTTATGCTAAAAAAGTAAAACATCTGTAGCATTGTAGACCAACGGCAGTGTAACCGCGTCTCTGATCAAGCTGCCATCCCCAGTGTCTCATCACACCCGTCCAACAGTCCTCTACTGGCACAGAGTCAACTTTGTGTGCTTGAAGCAGGTGTGTAATCACTCACAGGACTCATGGCTAGTTTTGAGAAAGACGGTGGGGAGGACGACGCCATGACGGTGGAGATCAAAACCGACATCCTGCTAACGCTGTCGGCACTGTGCGAGCAGGACCTCCACAGGAAGGTAGCCGGTCGAAACCTCACTGGAATGGCGAAGGAGGATGAGGCTGTCCCATAGTGCCAGCTGAAATACATCTGCACATAGCCCTTAATTACCTCAGTGCGCTGGCAGATTTGAGAGGAGCACCATTCAAAAGTCAGCAGCCATACCACCTGCAGTTCAGACCAGGTGATCAAGCTGAAAAAGTAAAACAATGTAAAACCAAGGTCCTGACTCTTCGAGGTCATAAAAGATCCTGGAGCATCTTTGGAAAGAATAGGGGTGGTACCCCTCTGTCCTGGCTAAAATGACCACCTTAGTCCTATCAAATCTGGCCTCCTTCTTATCCTCCAGATCTAATTGGTGAATATTCTCCTGTTCCTTCATCATCCTAGCTAATATGTTGTGGGTTTACTGACACAGAATGGCTGCCGTTGCATCATCTGGGTGGGGGCTACACAGTGGTGGCGGTTGAAGTGGCTCCCCACTGGTTTTGAAAAGCACTATATAAATGTAATGTTCATTCATTCATTCAAAAGCACAGTAAACTGCTGGGGTTTTTCACAGGAGCTGTTCGGGCCTGATGGAGTGGAAATAGTGACACGTTTTCTCAAGTTGAGCATGGCAAACTTCTACAGCGGCCTCGGGCATAACAAGCTGATTCTTTCCACTGTGGACGCCGTCTGGTAAGTGCCAGCGCAGAGTGGCTTTGATCTCATGTTAAGCAGCTTTTGATGCTGCTTAACATGATGCTAAGGTGTGTCCCGTTCTGAAGGTCCTGCATTGTTGGGTGCTACATGACTGAAGATCTGTTTCTGGAGAAGGAAGGAGTATTTCTTCTGCTTGATTTACTTCAGGTCAGAGAATAATATTGTGCTTATATGCTCAAGTTTATATATTAATGTACCATTATTCCTTAACCTCACCCATTCATGCATTTCCAGTAGCTGCTTATCAAGTAGGGGTCATGGTGAATGGGAACCACAGGGCGTAACCTGGGTGTATCAGAGAGCGTAGCACTGGGCATAACACAGGACGCAGTCTGGATGTATCAGAGAGCGTAGCACTGGGCATAACACAGGACGCAGTCTGGATGTATCAGAGAGC